AGCGCTTAGCTCATTTAAATGGAGCATCTGAAGAGCAACTGTGATCTTGGAGCTCAACTAATGAGCTAAAGTGGAGAGAGAGAGATTTTTCTACCTCAAGAATGTGTGCTAGGATAGATTATGGAGATAGGGGGTCCTGTCTTGGCCCTTCTATTAAGCTACTTGTTTAAGTTTAGCCATATCTCTCTGAACTTTGATTCTTTCTTCATCACAAAAGAAGGGGTGGGTTTAGATCAAGGATTTAGTTGGGTTCCAAGGAACAGTATTAGGAGGTCGCTGAACCCCTAGAAGTTACAGGAAAATTTGATGCGTAAATGTCTTTTTCTAAGAAGTGGATTCAGGGTTTTCATTGGATTCTCAGAGGGGCCTAGGATTCAAAATTTTAAGAAATACTGCACTGATTTAGATAGTATCTTATCTTTTCCCCATGTCTGATAATCTTTGACTCTACCTTTTAAAAATGTCTGTCTAATTCATCATCATTAGTTATATTTATAAAATATACTTATGCATACTTTTTGCCCAGTTGAGCACAAGACAAAAATTGAATGAGACCAGATATGAGCCTACTGGGAACATATCTTTATTATGACCATCACTATTAATGTGGGAAGATGAGGGAAGGACATGGAAGCCTACTCAGAGTGATCATCAAGCCATGGGCCAGTAGGCTGTTTAAGCACTCCTCAAACTCATTTTCTCAGAAACAAAGCCCCTTCCCCATCCTGGCAAAAGTTTCAATGAAGTCTATTGTTAATCTGGTGCTAACAGGATTTCGGTGGTGGTCCAGTGGTTAAGAATCCGCCTGCCAATCCCGGGGACATGAGTTTGATCCCTGCTCTGATGATTCTACATGATGCGGAGCAATTAAGCCCATGAGCCACAACTACTGAGCCCGAGCGTTCTATAGCCCATGTTCCACAACAAGAGAAGCCACTGAAACGAGAAGTCCGAGCACCACAACTAGAGGAAGGCTACTAACAGCAACAAAGAACCAGTGTGGCCAAAAATTAATTAATTAATTAATGAGTAATAGAAGAAAAAAAATTTTTTAAGTCTATTAAAAAAATCTGGTACTATCAATACAACCAGTTTGTATAACAGATGTATTGTCTGGTCCCTGTCCATGTAATGTTCTATGTAAAATTTTTATACATAATTAAAACAGTACAGGTTGTATTTGCATTAATGGACAAGGAAGCACAAAAGCAAACAGTTAAAACTAGGCTCCTCACAGTTGTGTTGTTCCACAGTCAAAGAGTAATCATATTCCAAAGCTCTCACTTCTCTTGACCTTAAGTGTTTCAAATGTTTCAAAAATCCAACTATTCTAACAGATAGTTTCCACTCTTTCAGTTTATGCAAGGTACTGAAAGTGATACTCAGATGAATGAGGCATGGAGCTTACACTCTAAGCATTCAGATCACTATAATACAAAGCAGCACAACAGAAAGGCTGTTGAGATTCAAGGAAGGAATGAAAGTATATTCTGTTGGCAAAATCATGGATGGGTGTATGGAGGAAGTGGTATTTGAGGTGAGACTTAAAGGGTGAACAGGATTTTGATCTGAAGTCAACAATCTAAGGGTGGAGAGTAAGAGGGCAATTTTGATGGAGGAATTATCATAAACAAAAGCAGAGAACCAGAAAGAAGCATGGGGCATAATGTGAATACAGGACGTATTCCAGGTTTATTGAAGAGTTGTGGGGGGGGGGGGGAAGGGAGGGTGATGAATTGAGAATGATACTGTGTAATATCTTTAACATAAGAATGAACCTCAGTGCTATAATAGGCAATGGAGACTACTCCAGGTTTATGGAGGAGCAGAGCAAGATCAAGGAATCAGAGAAAATTTGAATTTAAAATCCCTCCACCCTCATTTTATAGTCAAGGGAGTCAGAACAAGAACCCAGAAAGCTTGCCAGATTCATAATCCAAATTCTTTGCCTTGTAATAGCTGTTTCATGAGATTACTGGGGTAGCAGTGTGCAGGATGAAGAAGAGAGAGCTCAAGCAGGAGGCCATGTGGCTGCTATTACAGAAGTCTAGGAAGAAGTTCAGATGGGATAATGAGACCTGAGCAACAGGGGAGAGGGAAGGGTAGCAGGCAGAGGAGGAGCTGGGAGAGCCCACAAAGTCCCCCTTCTTTCTCCTCCATGGAGATCAGAGATCAGATCAAGAATGAACTTCTTGTTCAATCACATCAGAGAGGTGGGACATTTGATTTCACTCACTGGTGGGTCTAGAAAGGAAGGAGTCATTAGGTCCATGCTTTTTCAGATTATGAACGCTTAGCCCTTCGGACTCCCCTTCAATACTGTACTTTCTCCAGAAAAAAAGAGGCCAGAAATCACACTAGCAGTGGCCAGAAGCCACCCCGGAACTGTCCCTTTCAGGGACCAGAGATGATTTTAGGATTCAGGCAACTCTGAGGGCTTTCCTCTTGGCTTTGCTCGAGTGCCCGCCCAGGCATCCCAGGGCTCAAAACCTCAGCTTTACTATGTTGTGTTGGTTTCTGCCAACATGAATCAGCCATAAGTATATATATGTCCCCTTCCTCTTGAGCCTCCCTCCCACCTCCCACCCCCCACACCACCCCTCTAGGTTGTCCCTCTGTGACTTCATTCTTGAACAGTTTATTTAATTTGAGATCTGGGATGTCATGAGTCTGTGCACTTCTGACAAAGGCATAGATATGGCGAAAGCTTAATAGTAGGTGATCATCCTGCTCTCAGGCGACCAGTAGATGAGCATCCAGTTATGCACAATTCTAAGTCAGCAGCCCACTCGCCCTCTTCTACATGGCCTTTGGTATATAAAGACCAAACCCCCATCCTCCCCAAAAAAGACATCATGAGAAACAGCTTCTATGAGAAAGAGTGCCAACCCAACAGATGATATTCTCACCAGAGGAGTGATTACACACAGTAGGCACTCAATAAAAAAGGGCCAGGGCATCAACGTTATCTTTTGATCCATGTCTTAGTCTGTTTTCTCCTTTTCATGAACCAAGAGATGGACCATCATCAAAGCTGGCTGATTCCAACTGACCATGTGGGCCACAGTCACTTTCCATCAGAAACTGTGCCCAAAGGGGGCTGGAGTAGAGCAGGGACTCAAACACCCTTGTTTTATTTTCCTTCCCCAGGCTCTTCCCACAGGCAGCATCACGCTGACATTTCCTGCTCCATGAAGAGGACTGAAGGATCTCACTGAAGAAAACATCTTTGAGTCCTTCTGTGGAGCTGGAAGGCTGTATTCATGGCAGGTTAGTGAGCAAACAACCTACATTCAAATCCTGTCTCTGCTAATCAGGAGCCTATGGCTTTGAGTGAGTTATTATATTTGACCTCTTTACATCTTGTTTTCTTCATCTGTAAAAGGGGGAATCATAACAGCGGGTGGCCAATAAAGTTGGTGTGAAGAATAAATAAGCTAACAAGATGGCCCATGTAACATGTTCAGCATAATGAGTACTCGGTGAATTTTCAGCTGTTTTGAATAAGACTGCTCTGACGTTTGAGCCTACTAACTTTTGGTGATTGGTGGCTTAGGGGTAGAGGCTGTTAAAGGTGACAAAGGTGCCATCCAGATATGCCAGCTGTGCCCAGGAGTGATACTGCCATACTTGGCTGGTATTTAAAAGAGATGAGAAAAATCATGGCTCCTTACATGCCCTACTTGAGCAATAGTTCAGGTTAATCCACCTCTTTTATTCTCTTAACCTGGGTGATGGGTTATTGTTGGCCTGAGGCTGGCCTAGCCAGTTTGTAAGGTTTCAAAAAGAGACAGCCCTAGACGTCTATTTCAGAGGGACTTGTTAGTGCCTCTTCGCTTTGGTTTGGGGGATTTTCTATCCATCAGGCCCCAAGCAAACTCCTGGTGTTTAAGGCTGTCAGAGACAGAAGGGACTTAGGAACTGTCTGGTTTGCTTGTTTTGGAGCTAAGGGAACCAAAGGCCTGGGTAGTGGGTACGTGGTCCAAGGTCAACCAGCTGGTCAATTCAAAACCGGGGGGCTGTTCTCCCCTGGCCTCATGTCCAGGGCAGCGCTCATGCTCCACGCCCGCTGGCTGTCTGGCTTTCTGAACTCTGGCTCCCTTTTGGTCCTGGGTCAGGTGTAGCCCACGCTTCCCTGGTGCCTGTGCTGACTTTTCTTCAGCTCCCCAGCCACCTTCCCTGCCCTGGTGCATCCCATTGTCAGCTCTTGCCCATACATCCCGGGCACTGTCCTGTAGACCTGCCTGCTTCCTGCCTGGGGTGAGGCTTTGCCTTGGGGCCTCCCAGGCCTCAGGAGTCCCGCCTGGGTGACCCCTGGAAGGGGCACGCAGGCAGCACTTCTCTGCTTCCCTCTCTACTCTCCCGTGCTCCATCTTTCTTCAGGTCTTGCTCGGCCTCCCTCAGTCTTGTTCTGCCTCACTATCCTCCTTTTTTCTCCTGCTCCCAGTCCTTTCCCTTCCCCTCTCTTCCTCCCAGGCGCTCCGCACCCTCCTGGTCCTCCCGGTGCTCGGCCCTTCCCCTCCCCGGCTATCCTCCCCCCCCTCCCCTCCTCCTTTTCGTTTACCCTCCAACACATCTGTTTCTAATCTGCGCCCTCCAGGCGCCTGCTTGAAACGAAAAAGCTCCCCCCACCCTCAGGAACCTGGCACAAAACATTCCTGAATAAACCTTCCCTCCCCTAATTCTCCAGTTTCCCCAGATACCCCTGAAACTAAATACCGCCCCCCCCCCCCAAAGGATCCTCCACACCGAGGGTTCGCCGCCCAGCTCCACCGGGAAACCCCCCACCCCAAAGCCTGCTCCAGGCCCAGATGTTCGATGGCCGACCAGGCGGCCCTCCGCTGCCAGATGTGCTCAGAGTGGCCCAGGAGGCAGGCACAGAGGCGCCCGGCTCACCCAGGGGCCGCGGGGAGGAACGTTCGGAGCCCGCGTCGCCGCCCGGGTGCGGGACAGTGTGTTGCCCGGGGCCACTCGCCCTCCCGTCCTCCCCAGGCACTCACCTAGCCCCAGCAGGACGAGGAGGGTCATCCCGATGCCCGGGCGCGGGCTCCTCCCCGCTCAGCCGCTGCCTGGCTCCGGTGGCGGGGGGGTGCAGCAGAGCGCAGCCGACGGACCTCTGCCGAGCTGGGCGCGGCGACTCGGGGTGCGCGCGGGGTGGCTGCAGCCATGTGCCGGCGCGGGAACGGCCCCACGCCCCGCGCCCGGCTCCGGGGTCCCCGCGCCCCGCGCAGAGGGGCTTCCAGTGCTCGCCCCACCAGCTTGCACCCGGACGGGAGCGGGGACCCGGGTCAGCGAGGAAAAGACGAGACGGAAAACCGCTACCGCTTCGTGGAACACTTTTCCCTGTTTGGAAAGAAAAAGGAGTGAAGAAAGAGAGAAGGGAAAAAAAAAAAAAGAGTGAGCTGGAACCACATGGTTGCCTCCCACCGGCAGCCCCTCCCTCGCTCGCTCGCTGCTCCCTCCCTCCCAGCGCTCGGGGCGCGCGGGGCGCCGGCTGGGCAGCCGCGGGGGTCGGCGGGGGTCGGCCCGGGGCGGGGCGCTCTGTTGGCAGCCGCGGGGAGGAGAGGGCTTGCAGCCGCGCGGGGGCCGGTGTGGGATCGACCCTGTAGGAGAGAACCGGGGACACTTGGGCCACGAGCGAGGATGAGGCCTTGTCAGTCTCCTCGGTCTGGGTCCTCACTTCGTCCTTATCTCTCCACTTCTCTCGCGCATCCTTTTCTCGCTCACACACACTCTGGCTTCCGCACAAGTCTGCGTTGTCTCGGCTTCCATCTCTGCATTTCTCTCGCGTTTGCATTCTCCTTGCCTCTCCCACCTCCTCGCTCCTCTTCCCTTCCTTCCTCACTCTTTCTCCTCTCCTCAGCCATCCCTGCCACGTTGAGTCGGGGTGAAACTCCAGACCCACCTTTCCGGACGGCTCAGCCTGAAAATGACTGTCGGGGCTGTCAAGCGCAGGTCTGGTTGCGCGCTCCTGACTTCCCTGTCTTTCCCTTGGCCTTTGGCCTTCTCTCTTTCACTCTCGGCGATGATCCCGGCAGCCCGCCCTAGGATCGGGCCGAGCTAAGCGGACGGGGGTTCAGAACTCGGTGCAAAGGGGTCCGTTGGGACGCCCTGGTGCGGACTATCCTGCACGTGGCCCTGGGCAAAACAGGTATCACCCTGTTTCAGAAAAGAAGGCAGAGGACACGGATTACCTCCTCTGTAGGAGGGACCCCGTCAAGGAAACCCTGGGGGCGCCGCCGCGCTCCCAAGTGCCTGGGGCTGTGCCTACCAGGACCCCCGGCGGCGGGAGGAGACCGCAGCGACTGCCACACTGAGGTCTCAACTGCACTGGGGCGCTGAGAAAGCCCGGACCTGCACTCTCTGGTCTCGGCCTCTGGATGTCCTTGGAGAGGTAGCAGCTCCTTCAGCCGTAGGAGGCACGACCTCGCCGTGCCCGCAGAGTGGAGCTGGGGCCAGCCTCCGGCGGGCGGCGGCGTCTGCCCAGTGCGCAGGAGAGCTTCACCCCTGGGCTTGGCAGGCTGCTCCATCACACTTTCAACCAGTTCTCTCTCCCCGCGCCTTTAGAAGCCAGGGGGTGTATCGCTGCTGCTGCTGCTGCTAAGTCGCTTCAGTCGTGTCCGACTCTGTGCGACCCCATAGACGGCAGCCCACCAGGCTCCGCCGTCCCTGGGATTCTCCAGGCAAGTCCTCCCTAATTAGCTTGTCTTTTCCTATTGCCATGAGCCAACCCCATTGCATAGGTGAGGAGAGCACAGGCCTGGAGAAGTTGTGGCGCTCCCACCAGGTCCTTCAGAAGGGAAGGCGAAGGCGAGGGCTGCTCTTGGGGCTTTGGGATCAGCTGTGAGAGCTGTGCCAGTAAAAGTCTAGCATTCCCCACCCCCTCTTTCCTCGCCCATCCCTTACCCCCGACCTTCTTCAGTAACAATTTATTATGCATCTACTCTGTGCCAGATGCTTTTTTAGGCGTTGAGCACACAAAGTGAGTAGAACTTGGCTATTGACATTTTTTAAACATCTGGAATTAGTATATCTTGGCACCAACTATGGACAAGGAAGCATATTATCTTTTTATTAATTCTTATGATAATGCTGAAGGATAGGCAATTTTTATTCCGTTTTAAAGAGGGGGAAGGACTTTCCTGGTGGTCCGGTGGCTAGAGACTCTGCGCTCCCAATGCAGGGGACCCAGGTTCAATCCCTGGTTAGGGAACTAGATCCCACTTGCTGCAGCTAGGAGTTCACATGCTGCAACTAAAGATACAACATGCTGCAACCAAGACCCAGCACAGCCAAAGAAATAAATACATAAATAAAATATTTAAAGCTGAGGAAACTATAACCTAGAGATGTTAATGATCTTGCCCCAGGTCCCAAAATATTAAAACTCTTCTATTCCAATATTAATATTCTAATGTTATTTTATATTAAAAATAAATATTTTAAAAGTATTTTTGTTCCCCATCTTATATTTCTTGTCTCATAGGAAAAAACACTCATAAATATAATTCACAAATGAATGTGTTGAAAAAATGTCAGTTCTCTTAAAGGTTGAGGAAGGTAGGAAGGTGACTTATAGAGAAAGCGACTTTTTGTCATTTCTGTCTTGAAATTTAATATTTTGATATATTTTCAGATATATGAAAGCTGCAAAAATATTACAAAGATTTTTGATACACTTCATCCAGATTTCTTTTATTTCTTTATATTTATACTTTTTGTTTCTTTATAAAGGAGATATTTTTGTAAGTTTTAAAGCCCCATCTCTATTCCTTCACTGCTGGTGGCCTTTCTGATGAACTCATGATACCAGGTATTGCATGAGGGCTGGTGTGCACATAAAGACAGATGTGTGTGGGTGCAGGCAGACGTGTGTTTAAACTTACATTGCTCAAGCTGAAGATAACAAAACGCCTTCAGCTCTGTTAGTCAGTTGGTGGTATAGGAAATGGGGCTTCCCTGGTGGCTCAGTGGGCTTCCCAGGTGGCACTAGTAGTAAAGAATGTGCCTGCCAATGCAGGAGATGTGCGAGAAGAGGGTTCGTTCAATCCCTGGGTCAGGAAGGGGGCCATGGCAACCCACCACAGTGTTCTTGCCTGGAGAATCCCATGGACAGAGGAGCCTGGCAGGCTACAGTTCTTGGGGTCGTAAAGAGTCGGACATGACTTAGCAACTAAACAACAACAAAGCATAGGAAATGCCAATTTCTTATGAGTTTTGCTAAAATTGGGTCATAAACATTCAGTTTACCCAGGTCTAAAGTCTTATAGCCAGTCTATATTGGGCATCTTCTCCTTGAGGAGAGTCCACAGGTCTCTGCAGATGACTGTTTCTGAATCCGAAGCCTCCTATCTGTTGCCCGGGAGCAGAGTGCCCCGAGATGGCTCCGTAACTCAGAAACACATAGCCTACCTATGCTGTGTTCACACTGATCGGGCTGGGTGCCATGGGGATCTGAAGAGGTACACAGCAGTCCTTACCCTAAATGGATCTCTCCATTTAGGGAGAGAGGAAGCATCAATATGCGAAATGTTTCCACAACAAACACGAAAGTTATGTAGTTAAGTGCTGGAATAAATTATCCTGACAACAAGAAACACTGGGAATTCCAGGAAGGGAGGGAGCATTGTGGGCTTGGGTGGCTGTGAAGGTTCCCTGGGAGGACACTTCTTGAGCCAGGCCTTGGGGATGGAGAGAATTTCACTAGATGAGAGGACCCGGGGAGGACCCCTGAGGGGCAGGGGCACTCCTGAATGAAAACATGGACTTAGGAGTAGCTGGGGTATATTCAGGTGGCGTTGAATGGTATGAAATCCCTGAAATGAAAAATTGGTGGTGCAAAATGCTTTGGAACAATTAGCCTGCAGCAAATTGTGAGGAGTCCTGAATGTGAGGCAAAGGACTGGACTCTGGAACTTGCTCTGCACCTTCTCCAGGCATCCTGGAAAAAATTTAGTAAAAATGAGTTCGATGAAAACCATATTTTAAGAGATATAAATTGGCAGTGCCCAGAGGTGATCCTACAGATTGGCCAAGGGTGGAGAGCTTTAGTATCCTTTCTTATCCATCAGGCTCTCTATCCCCATGCTTTAGTACAAACAATTACATTTTCTCAACATTTTGTAAAGTGATATGCACGTACAGCTTCAAGACAAGTCCCTTACCCTCCCCACTCCAAGTGGAGCCAGAGAGCCACCATATCTCTTCTCCACAGGAATGACAGAGCCACTGCAGGGTGTGCATGAAACAATGGAAGAAAAATCTGAAGAGAAACTGGTTAGAACCTACTGTGTTAAATGGGGAGATGAGGTGAGGGTGGTGAGACAAACAGAAGATATTTGGGAGAAAGATAAGCCAGATTAAATATCCATTGGTCATTGTGGGTGGGAGAGGGAGTACAAGACAAGAGACACTAAAGATAAGTGATCTACTATGTTGTTATATATGCTAAGATTAAAGCTATAATTATAGACCTTCTAGTATATTCCAGGGATTATGTGTCATCAATAAGCCTCACTATAACATATTAAAATGAGTATACCAATCACTAATTGAGTAATTAAGTAAATTGCATCTCATTCCATGGTTAGTGAATGATTGAGCCAGGATTTAAAGTTAGAAGATGGAAAGCCCCCACTGACTTTTGATGATAATTGCTCCTAGGGAGTCAAGTAAGTTAATTTGTCAGGAAGGGAAAAATCAATTTAACTTGAGATACCGTAACTCATAGAAAATGATAAACCACATCTATCCATTCATCCATCTGTTCATCCACTTTTCTATTTTTAGTTTGAATCAATAATTCAGTAAATCCTCGTTAAGTACCTACTAGGTGCCAAGCACTGGGAAGTCAATGGTGAACAAAGCAAAAGTTGTCCTCACCCTCCAGAAGCATATGGTGGGTTAAGGAAGATGGACAACAAAGAAGCAATCACAAACCAGAGTGAGAAATACTCTGAAGGGTGTGGAACTGGTGGCAGGACCCTGTACCTGGTGTAGGAGACATCAAGGTGGCCACCCTGAGCAGGAGGGGAAGGAGATCTGTGCTGTGTCTCCTCTTGCAGGACCCCTGGGAGCCAGGGGCCATGCCTTCTCATCCCTTTGTATTACAGTACCCCCCCACCCCCACCCCGGGCCCTGCTCTCTTAGAGGAAGACACATTTCTGGGGGCATTTAGGACCATGCAGCTGCCAGATAATGAATGGAAGGAGCTGCGAGCTGCAAGGCAGACAGTTTGGGTTCTCTGTGGCTTTGAATAGGTCACTTGATGTCACGGAGCCTTTTTCTCTTTTCCTGACGCTGTAATGGGGAAGAAATGAGATTCTGATGAAGGTGTCGCACAC